TTTGAGATAACTTATGAAAAGCAAGTATACATGAACTAGGGGGCTGGAGAGGGGTGTTTTTTTGGTAGAGTTGTGGAATATAAATGGCTTGAAGAGAGCAAGTAAAGGACTTCCTCTACATTTTATGCCCAAGACAATATGGAGAGTAGAATGCCTAGCTAATGGGAGGTATAAGGAGGACAAACTGCAGAAGACAGTGAGAAGGACATAGGAAACAGAGTCAGTACTTCATCTTACTGTCTTTATTAGCATTTCATTCTCCAGTAGACAAGTGCAACACCGCTTTCTAAGGGTGTGCCACTCTGGAAGGTGCGCCTCTCTCTGCTCTACTCCACATCTGAAAAAGTGCAATAGCCCTGGAGTGTCATCCTGATACTCCAAGGTTGTGGGTTTGATCTCTGATCAAGGCACATACAGGAAGTAACAGTAAGTGCATAAATAGGTGGAACCACAAATCTCTCTCACAAATCCTCTCTCTCTCTCTCTCTCAAAAAAAAAAAAAAAAAAAGATTAAGTGCAATAATATTAAAAAAAATCTCAACATCAAGAGTCATATCATTCACATAATTCCTCCCCACATACACACTTTCATCAAATTCTATTACTAATATCACATTACCCTCTGCTTGAAGCTTGGGATCTTCACCACTCCTGACACCTGAAGCTGGTTTAGCTGGCTGATGGTTTGGGGGCCGGGGGTATGATAACTGTGCACATGACAGACAGCTGAGCACATGGGTAATTTTGTACCTCTGTTTCAGAAAAGAGGCTGTCTGATCTTACCTATTGCCTATCACGAGAGAGTTGCAATCACATTGTGTAATTACCTATTTCCAGCTATGGAAATGTTCTATTTCCATTTTTATTGTGTAATTTAGTAAGAAAAAGAACCTCAGGCAAGTACTTTGAATGTCATTCAACCTCTCTTGGTACAGATCCTTGCATGTTTTATAAGAAATAGTGTTGTGGCCTTGTTTGCCTTAGTTTGCTCCAGAGCAGCGATACAAATTTATTAATACCATCTGTTTTCTTAAAAAGTAAAAACTTCCATAAAGCAGGAACCAAGAGATTCAGCCTCATATGGAAATTTTGCCAAGATCTGCCAAAGCAACTTCTCTTTATTTATTACTTTTATTTCACTATTAGAACGTATTTACAATGGATTACTTAGAGTCTTTATTTCTATTATGTAATAATATCTCCTTTTTCAAGCATTTAGATGCATTTGTATTATAAAAGCCAAAGCAAAATCATAACTTGCTCCTAGATTTAGAAAAATTGGGGGGGCAAATTTATTAGTTTAATCCTTGTTAGCACAACACAGTCTCTCCTCTATTATTTCATTTGTTCTTTTATTAAAATCTTCAATAATCAGCACAACCTACAATTTGAAAGCAATCATTTTAGATATGTATCCATTACTTCATAAATAATTTAAAACAGTAAGGTTAAATATGTCAATTCAGAGAATTACAAAGTAGTTAAGTGGCTTTCCTTAAAATTTCTACTACAGAAATCTGTATATAAGAATAAGAATCTGTATGAAAGAATCAGAATTTATATAAAGTATCTTATATAAAGTATGAAAGCATCTTATATAAAGTATGAAAGAATCATAATTTCAGAAATATATGGTTTAAGTTAGGATAAATATATCATCAGCTCATGTTCCTTATCTAAAGAGTAAAAGAAAGAAATGAATATGAACAAATATTTCAGCACCACAATCTATAAGGAGCTAAAATAAAGATTTCCATCAGATGGGTCCTATTCTTGACAATCTGACATTTTTGGACTATGAAAAAATAAATAATTTATTATATTTTAGAATGATACTTAAATATTCTACAGTTTAAATATGTTAAATTAAATAGAACATGTAAGAATACTTTGATGTAACAAAATGAATTGGTCTGAGAACCTCTGGCATAGAGAATGGGCTGCATAAATGAATTAGTCAGTCATCTTGATTTAGCAAAAAAAGAGAATTTATAAAAAGTTCATAGCTTCAGGGACTTGGCTCAAAGGCTTGAATAATGCCGGTTTGAATAGTTTTAGGCTTTTCGTGGTGGATTCTGGGATCTTCAGACTCATGTCAGCATAAACCCAAGTCCCGATCCTAGGTTTACTGGCCTTCCAGGTACTGACTGGAAACTCTGGGTTCCAGTCACACTCCTGCGTGCCCCCCTCCCCGCCAGCAGGTCTGTGTTAATGCTCAGTCCTGCGGGCACCACAGCGTGGCCTGTTGGAAGGGTGAAGGGATTGCAGGGACAGGCTTTGAGTCCCGGCTGGAACGCCAGGCCAGCCCTCAGTATCCTTTGATCTATGCTTTTACTGTTCAAACACATGGCATAGGAACCTCTGTTAGGATTCTTACTCCAACTCCTTCAAATGTTAGGGGCAGGCTAGGTAACATTTGAAAAAAAAATTTTTTTTTATTGGAGAACAGGTAAAGGTCATTTTAAGCTGAAGCAGGAGAGGGACAAGATAAAATTTAGAACTTTAAAAACACTTTTACTATGGTATAACCGACATAAGTTAGTTGCTTGTTTTTAATGCATACGCTTGATAAATTTTGGCACACCAATGAAAGAAACCATTATCACAATTGAGAAAATGAAAAGAAAAAAAATTTTTTTTAAGAACACATATTCAACAAATTACTTTTGTCAATATATATATATATATATATATATATATATATATATATAAAGGAATCTGAAAATTCAGTAAGGAGACAAATAACCCAATTAAATATAAACAAAATATCTGAGCAGTCATGTCACCAAAGAAGATATACACTCATCAGAGAAGCACATGACAAGCTGCTCAGCACCAGTAGCCACCAGGAAAACGCCAGTTTGTATTTTCCAAGGTCCCATAGGCCTCCGTGCCCTGGAAGGACTGGGGATAGGAGTGGCTGCAGAGCAAACATCTCAGAGGCTATTGCCATAGGACTAGCAAAGGAGTGTGGTCGCTTGAATAGAGATGGTGGTTGTGGAGATAGGGGGAGAACTACAAATTAGGGAAATAGGAAGCAAAATGGATAGGCCTTGACATTTACTTTGGTTTCAGAGGGTAAAGTGTTAGAAATGATTTCAAGTTTTCTGGTTTATGCAGTTGGGTGGATGACAATGCCATTCACAAACATGGGGAAGCCGGGAGGAAGACCAGGTGTGGTGGAAGAACGAGTTTATGTTACACTCGAGGCCCGGTGCATGAAAATTCATGCCCTGGTGGGGGGGTCCCTCAGCCTGGCCTGCCCCCTCTCACAGTCCGGGAGCCCTCAGGGGCAGGAGGTGACCCAGTGAACAGGGAAAGGTGATGCCCCATCACACCTCGGCAACATAAGCCTTGGCTGGCCCTGGTTACCTGAGCTCAGGCAGCCCTGGACAACTGTTCAGCTGCCATTGGAGGCTTGCCTGTGCCTCAGGTTGACCCTGGATGGCTGGGGGGCTGAGGGGACTGGGTGCCGCCATCTTGTGGTTGTGGGTGCTGCCATCTTTGAGGGCATGGCAGTCAATTACCATATTCCCTCCTTATTGGCTGTGGTTGCCACCATCTTTGTGATGGCATGAGGGTCAATTAGCATATTCCCTCTTTATTAGGATGAGCGCCTTTGTTGTCTCTTTGAGGCACCAAAGTAGAATCCTGGAGCTGGCCGTTGGGGTAAGATGTGTTCTGGGCCTTGTATTTGGTGTGGACAGAGTTTAAATGGGAGGAAAGGGAGGAGCAGGGATTGCCAAATCCGATTCCCCTGTCCTGAAAAGCAGGAGGGAGCCTGCTCTTTATCCAGGGTCGACACTAGTAAAGCAGGAAGAACTTCTGGTGAAGAGGAGGCTCCAAGCACTTCTTGAAATACTCTGCCTGGAACCCTTAAGGCATTTTGCCAATCTTGGGGTACCCTGAGCCAGGACAAAGTGAGGCCATAGCTCTCCGGAGTCTCCCTGCTCATCCACTTCTTACCCTCCCTATTGCTCACTCCTAGCTTAGATGTAGATCGCATGCATGTAATTGTAGTCTCAGAGAAATAAAAAGTCCTGTAGTACAGGCTACTCAAAAATCTTACTGAATGGTCTTCGGTCCAGTTTTTCCATGTGGATTACACACACACACACACACACACACACACACACACATTACTTATTTTTATTTTTTTATACCTCATTAGTGAATCCAAACCATACTGTTCCGCCTCAGGCTGGTTCTCACATTCTTCGAAAGAACAAGGGGATCTTTAAATTCACTCAGTTTGGGTTGGGGAGAGGCCAAAGCCAGTTAGTGTCCCCCTGCTCCTCAGAATGGCCTTGTAGCCGCACAATCTAGGAAGGCATTCACAGCCTCCCCCTCTCCGTCTCCTGGCTGGGCACAGTCTAGCTGGTATTCTGCTCTTCCTGCAAATATGGGAGAAAGCAAAAGGCACCATTCAGCCTCCTTTGTCTGCCAAGTCTGGCATCTCAGCGGTTTTCTCCGAGGGGCCCTCCTTTTGGGGACCCGCTTTGCCATTAACGGAAACCAATCTGAATGCCCCATTGTGCATCCTTTTTCTTCCCTCGCAGTCTGAAGGTGCCGTTGCCAAGTTCCCGGGCTGAACCTGAAAGACCCTCTCTCACCGCCCCCCCCCCCCCCCCCAGTGCCCTGCTTCCAGCCCCACGGAGTCCCCGCGGAGCTTTCTCAGGCAGGAAGGCAGCAGTGTGAGGCCTGGGAGGACCTCGACCTACTCCGCTAACCCAGTGGCCTGAGCCAATCGCAGAGAGGATTGGGACCTCACTGAGCCTCCCCCTCCTCCCTACTACACCAGCCTCCTGGGAAGGACACTGGAGGGGTGCATTTGCAATGTAAGTCCTTGGCTTTCTGCCCGCCTCTTTTCCAAATAAGAAGGCAGGAGCTGCTGTGAGGTGCAAGGAGGGTCTTCTGAATTGCAGTGGCCCTGGGATTCACAAATCCTCACTCGGGGCTCTTCCATCTGTTTTCAGAGCTAACGGGAAAGGGCAGGAAGGATGGTGGAGGCTTTCTGTGCTACCTGGAAGCTGACGGACAGCCAGAACTTTGACGAGTACATGAAGGCTCTAGGTGGGTACAGATATGTTCTCCTTTTAACCTACAGCTTCAGGCACTTGCATTTTTTTTTTCTTTCACCCATTAGATTGGCAAGTGACAAAGGCAGATCACATTGCAATGAAATATCCATTCTCATGTGGAAGTTGCTTGCTTTCTCGCCCAGGGCCACGTCACAGTGGCTCTGATGGCCTGCAGTGTTGTGTTCTCTCCAGCAGCCACTTCTCTGTGCATCTCTAGGTTGTGATAGCGCAGTAGCTGTGCTGGTTATGAATGGGCTAACCCTAAACATGCCCCAAGGAAACCTGTCCTTTAGGACCTGGGATCCACACTAGGAGGGCGGTTTTCTGCTCTGGGAGCTATTATATTTTGGAAGCTGCTGCGGTCTGCATGGCTTGCCTTTGCTATTTCAGGTGTGGGGTTTGCCACTCGGCAGGTGGGGAATGTGACAAAGCCAACCGTGATCATCAGTCAGGAGGGAGGCAAGGTGGTGATCCGGACCCAAAGCACGTTCAAGAACACGGAAATCAGTTTCCACCTGGGGGAAGAGTTTGATGAAACCACTGCAGATGACAGAAACTGTAAGGTAAGAAGCCACTTGCGGCGGGGGGGGGGGGGGGGGGGGGGGGGGGATAAAAGAGATTCCTGGTTACTTGTTTTTAGATGTTGGGAAGTGAAGTGAAGAATGGGCTCAGTATTTCCGTTCACAAAGGATAGCAGGGTTGATTTTGTATTCTTGCGTGCATAGGTTATGTTCTGGAAAATGGGTACTTGCTAAAGCTCAGACCTTGAATTAATTATTTTTACCATGTGTTTTCACATTGTATAGTAAACCTGTTTTCCAAAAGGCATTTAATAGCATTTGTTTGAAGGAATGATTGAGTTTTGTTTACTCTCTCTGATTGCTTCAGATTGAATAAACAGCTTACCTCATCCCAAGGCTTTGCTTAAAGGAGAGTGACTAGTCCGAAAGCACCTGCTCAGAATTTTTGCTTCTAACATGTGGAGTTTTTTGCATCTAGGTGTACACATTTCAATCCCACGATGAAATATTAGAGTGTGCATAGTAATGACTCCAGAAACAACACAAGATGGGGTACTAATTTAATAATTACTTGGACACAATTTATTCAGTGCTACAACTCTTTCACAAATCACTTCCTTTGACTTTTATATCAGAAACTGGATCTGTAATGGTTTCTTTGTTCTGCTCTTTGTGATTGCTCTCAGTCTGTTGTTAGCCTGGATGGAGACAAGCTCGTCCATGTACAGAAATGGGATGGCAAAGAAACAAATTTTGTAAGAGAAATTAAGGATGGCAAAATGGTTATGGTGAGTAATGTCAGTTCTTCCTGGTGTTTTTCCCTCCCCCTATTCTTGACTCTCTCTCCTCCTCCCCTTCCTTTCCTTCACTCCTTTCCCCTTCTCTCTCCCCTCCCTCCTTTCTTCTTAATAACATTAAGGGATTAGCAAGGTTCTTTAAGCAGTGATAAAGCAGAAGCAATAAACATATCCCAGCAAACTGTTTTCTCAGCTCTGTTTCTTTCATGATAGAAAAAGAAAAAATATGACTGTGAAAAGAATTTTTGTAGGATTACTATGAATGCCTAATCCTCAAAGAAAATCTCTATATAAAACTGACAATCATAAAAATATATAAAGATGTTGATATTCCTATAAGAATATCAACCTAACTGAATCTCAAAAAATTACTCTGTAATTTCTGAAATAAATAACAGATATTTAAAAACTTTATATTTTAGTTTGTAAAAGTTATATAGGTTCAGTGCAGATAACTTTAGAATATAACACAAAAGCCTAACAAAAATGTAAAAATCCTTTTTAATTTCCCCTCAGAGAGAACCATTTTGGTGTTACTTCCTGTCTTTTAAAGGTACCGTTTACAAGTAACTATTCAAAACCGGTAGTCATGTAAAAAATTATAAAATCGTTAATAAATAATTAATGATGTATAACATCATAAACTGGGGAAAACGTTATGCCTTAATCTAGCATCCCAGACACCTGTGTGTGTGTGTGTGCATGTGCACGCACGTGTGTGAACCAAGTAATGGTATTTTGATCATATGGAACAGTCGGTGTGTCGTTTTGCTTTTTTTTTCTTTGGAGGGATGGGTTTGCTTTACATATTTTTGGTTTTACTATTTAAGACAAGTGACTTGTTTTTACTCTCTTTCCTGACGGCAATGATTGCTGTTTTAGATTGAGATACAGGATTTATATACCCACACTTCTTTTCATAGGTGGCAGTGGGGAGCAGAGGACAGTTTTTCTTTCATGCTAACAAATATTTGCCCACATTCTTTCTGCAGTGATCACCAAAAAAAGGATTCATTTCTGAAAAATTCAATCTTAATTTTCCTTTCTGCTTTTATCTCCATATCCCACTGATACAGAAAAGTGGTTAGCTTAGCTTTGGCTGTCTGACTGTGATCAAGCAAGATCAAGTTCCAAAAATGTGATTAAAAACAATGGGTAATAAATAAGGGCATATTTTATCTAAAAATCACACCAATACATGAAAATAATGAATACTTAAAACCCTAAAATTTGTAAAGAGGTTTTATAGCAATTCTTCAAGTTGGATTTGACATAGGAGCCAATATTCCACGTGTGGTCCACTTAATCACCAAGGTTCACACAGGCTAAAGCATGACAGCCAATCAAAGAGAATGTTTGCACATTTACCTTTTCCTGCTGATTTTGTAACAAATACTATTTGGAACAAATACTATTAGAATGATTTTGATTTTCTAAAAACGTTTCAAAAGTTATCTAGGTCATGAATTGAAAACTATTAGGAAAACCTACTATAGCCCTAGTTGGTTTGGCTCAGTGGATAAAGCTTCGAACTGTGGACTGAAAGGTCCCAGATTCAATTCCAGTCAAGACATATGTCTGGGTTGTGGGCTCCATCCCCAGTAAGGGGCGTGCAGGAGGCAGTTGGGCAAGATTCTCTCTCATCATTGGTATTTCTATTTCTTTCTCTCTCTTCCTTCTTTTCTGAAATCAATAATATATATATAATATATATATTATATATATAAAACCTCAAAAAATAAAATAATCAATAAAAACATATTAAAGAAAAAGAAAACCTACTATAAATTCCATTCACTTTCATAGCAGGTAGCAAATTTGTTTCAATTACTCTGATAATTCAAGGCAAAAGAAATTCTTTTGACCTGAATCTAGATAGTTAATCTTAGTTTTTGTTTCATTTTCCTTTTAGAGACATGAACTATATGTACATATTATTTACTCATTAAACATAAGAGTTTGATTTCATTTTAGGAAAGAAAAAGCTTATGTAGCACTTAATGTTTGTAAATGCCAATATTCTTTTGCATGATATTTAAATCACATACATAATAATCTTTTTTAAAAAGTATGTTTTTATTGATTTTAGAGAGAGAGGAAGGGAGAGGAAGAGAAAGATACAAACGTCAATGAGAGAGACACATCAACATCCACCAGCTGCCTCCTGCATGCCCCCTGCTGGGGACCAAGCCTGACACCAGGGCATGTGCCCTGACCAGAATGGAACCAGCAACCATGGGTTGACACTCAACCAGTGAGCCACACCGTCCAGGCTCTAAGATAATCTTTAAAAATTTCAGCTACTGAAATTCCTGTAAAATGTTCTGGCTCTCTTTTGATCTTTCAGACTCTCACTTTTGGTGAAGTGGTTGCTGTTCGCCACTATGAGAAGGCATAGACAGATTCCTGGTTTGGGCCTAGAGGAACTCCACATTTTTTTTGTTACTCAAGTCTCAGTGCTATCCTGCCATTACAGCACGGCTCATCATGTATTAGAAGGTTATCCCTGGTGTGGAGATAGAAAATGGTGGTTTAAAAACTTCTTAAAAAATGTGTTACTTCAAGCAACCAGCCCAACTTTATCTGCAAATCTATCATATGTAATAGTTTGCATCAAGATTTTAAGCCACGTTTTAAAAATAAAGAGGTGACTATGTTTTGATATTTCTAGTGGAATGTAAATCAAATTGGAATAAAAATCTAATACCCAAGAGAGATTTTGTTGTTTTTAATATCACTAATCTATCCGGGAATTGTATGTTAGAGTTTTAAGTGAAAGAGTCTTTCTATGGCATAAAGGAAAGCTGGAAAAGTTAGCACTGTTGTTTAAAATACCAATTAAAAAAAAAAAAAAAAAGCCTACGGATATGTGGACATGCCACTGTTGAGGTTGAGACTTCCACAGAGAATTTGAGACTTCCATTCATTTGGCCAGGATACAAAGAATTGTTATGGTGGATGGGGTTCACAAATAACTTCTTGCTATTAGAAACAGGCAGTTTGAAGAAGCACAATGACGTACATGGAAATGTTCTAGTAAAAGGTAAATATGATAAAATATTTAATCACAATGTCATATAATTCAAATATTTTATTGAAAAGTAAATAGGAAAAGGAAGTGAATTTCATGTGGATTATAAAGATGTGTCTCCAGACACGTACAGTGAGCAGCACGAAGTCAGTGAGAATGCTAACATGTAATGTGCAGGCCAAGTATAAAGGCATTGCATTGCTTTGTGTGGGAGTTGTTGGAACTGAGTTGGCCAAAAGAAAGAAAGTAAATATTTATCTGTTTGTAACTGGCCAGGGTTTACATTCTAAAGTACAAACAGATGCTACATTTTATCATTTATAAGATTCTTTTTATACATTTCCTCAAAGCCATGATGTGAAGCAGGTAAAACAGAGAGTATTTTTACTCTTCCAATGAGGTCATTGAAGATTAGATTTCAAGCATTTCTTAGGTTTCAAATACATTTCTAGTACATGTCCAAGTTTTCATGACTAGTAAATAATATCAAGAACTGAACACTTTGAAAATTTCCCCTTTATTTCCTCTCAAAAATTAATATTTCAGCTAACTTTTTTTTTTTCTGATACAAAAATGCAAGATTTTATATTCTGGATTCATCCTTAGGAAATCTTTTCTCTTGTAGCCTTTGGGGGTAAGGGCTGAAGAAAGGGTAAATTTTTTTCAGGATAAATATGCAATATTAATTTTTAATCAACCCAGTGATTTCAATAAGTTTCTGTAAGTTAATTCAAGGTCTGATTAATTTACAGATAAATTAAGTATGAGGAAACTTCCTTTAACTTATACAATTTACCATAATGATATTATTACCTGACTATTGTATTACTTGAATCGCCATAATGATGAGTAGAAAACTCTAATATGCAGTTATAGGATTTAATATTTGAAAGTACAGTCAGTACTGAATGGCAAGATAAGACGGTCTGGCTAAGATTACCATTGCTAAAACTACAGTTTACCTCTATCTATCTATCTATCTATCTATCTATCTATCTATCTATCTATCTATCATCTATCTATCATCTATCTATCTATCTATCATCTATCTATCTTTTTTTTTTGTCTTTTTTTAACACAGGACTTCATTATTGGTGGTAAATGGCAACACAGGTTTGAGGAGCAAAGGTAGCATGTTTGTGGTGGTGGTGGGGGGGGGCCCATGAACTCGAGCATTGAGAGGCTTTTGCTCCAAATAACATCCTTCTGGCATTTATTTCCATATCAACTGTCTCACAGAGTGAGGAATGGAAAGGTTTCTGGATGCCCTACATAGGGGAAAAGTGACACTAGACTCAAAGATCAAGAGTTGCAGTGATGGACCAAATGCATTTTGGGGGGAAGATAATTAACATATTTTTTTGCTTCCTAAATGTGTGCAGGGTGCTTGAAAATCACTTTTCTTCAAGCTGTATTTTATCTCATATAGTAGTCTGTCAATGTCCTAACTTCTCTGGTTTGTCTGTAGGAAAAAAACAAAACCATAGATAACAGAAAAGTTAATCAGCAAGCCCAAAGACAAACTTGACCAAGAGGCCCTAGAAAGACATTTTTGAAGCCAAGATCCCAAATATAGAAAGTAGGTTAAAGGCTTTCTTATGAAGTCCAACCGTGAACCTTGACAATGAGCAAGCAGCAGCTTCCTCGAGGTTCCCTCTCACCCATATATACATCCTTATGACAACACTAGAGGCCCGATCCACAATAGGCCCCTGGCTTCACTCCCAGCTGCCCAGGAGCCAGCAAGATACTGCCAGGGAGCAGGCATGTCCCCGCTCCCAGGCCTCCCAGAGCTGGCAAGTCCTCACTTCTGTCTGGAGCACCACTCCAGTAGCTCCTTCTGCCAGCACTCCTTTCCCTTATAGCAGGCTTCGCATGCATATGCAAATTAACCTCCATCTTTGTTGGGATAATTTTCGTACTCACTGATTGGCTGTGGGTGTAGCGGAGTGATGGCTAATTTGTATGTTCCTCTTTTATTAGGTAAGATACCCAGAACATAAGGACCTAGAAATACTCAGTGTTGAGATATCTAACCAGAGATCCTAAGGCACTATGCTTCTTAGAGAGTGAGGATAAAGGAAAGCAAAAGAAAGTAGAGGGAGGAGAAAGAATAATTGCTTCTACCCTTTCATTTCAATATATTGTCCTTTTCCAAGCATTTCTTAGATTTCAAAATGTGTAAACCAAAATTTTATGCTTAAGAATTATTTCACTACATGGTCATGTTCTGGTCTTTTGGCTCCACGGAGGATATGGGGCCTGGAGGGGGTAACTTTGGTTCCAGGTACAAGTGTATGTTAACATTCTCTCCAATGTGCATACATGCTTCGGTTTTGGCATGATTTACAGGTTTGGTCTGTCCTCTGAAAAGCAATAACCCAGCATCTTCTTAGAAACAGGATAGGACCAGTTTAAGCTGGTCCTGTGAGTATACCAGGACCATTTTGTCCACCATTGGAAAGTACTTTGGTTCTCAAGAGGCCTTTGAATCATCCTAAGTCTGAGGCAGGACTTGAACTGAGCTGGCAGGACATGAAACAGGAAATGGAGGTGTCTGGATTCCACTTCAAAGGCTCTTTCATGAGCCCCATTCCCATCTTATTACATAGCCTACAAAGCAAGGTTCTCCCTGATGCGAAACAAACACACTTTACAAATCTTCTATCAGGTGAGTTACTCTGGAGGGTATTTTCTTCTCCGAAGGAATTCCAGACCCTACAAATGTAAACTATATGCTTCTTTATCTTAAAGGGGTCAGCATCCTCATAAATGGTATTGGAAGGGACACAGAACCCAAGGCAATGTGGGGATCTTGGCTTTTTTTCTTTTTCTTTTTTTTCCCTTCAGACTAAAAGAAAAACAAATTACAACTGAGTAAATTTGAATATCTAGTTAGCTACATTAAGGGATTCATAAATTGGACAACATCTCACCTCGCCGCCAGAAGGCCTCCAAGGAGTAGTGCAAAATGGAAGGTATTTATAGGAATAAGGATGGGGCAAGGAAATAGTAACCAAACAAAAGAAGACTATTTGGGCTCAGACAGACATCTTTTCTTTGGAGGAAGAGAATGAAAGTGTTTTTATCATGCAGATTGCTGCTTCTTTCTAGGCGGGATGGAGAGGGCTCAGGTGATTGATTATTTTGCTGGTGCTTGACCAGGAAGTTTCATACTGGTTGATGAAGGTGACGTTTCTGGAAGATACTGAAACAGCAATGAGTCAGGTATTAAATACAGGTTAGGCATCATAAGCTTTGGCACAAGTGAGGCTATTTGGGGCCTGTGATTTTTTTTTTTTTTTTAACAGTTTGCTTGTTTTTAACAACTGAGTTAGAAAAATGTCTCAAAACCATACTTTATGCATTCCAGAGATGCATGAAAATTATAAGTGAGCTGGTTTATTTTACTCTTCTGAAAGGAGTTTTTAGGAGTAAAATAGGCAGGTTTAGGAAATTTTAGAAATTAGGGGTCCATGGGAAAAAGCACAGGGCTACAGAGCTGCAAAGGGCACATTTCTTTAGGCTAAGGGAGCTGGGAGCTGCAGAAGGTACACATTTACAGGATAAAGGGAAGGAAACCCCTAATTCAAAGGGGAAGAAGAGAGCCCAGAGGGAATAAGAAAATGATAAGGGAGAAGAGGAGACCCTCACGTACTTCTGTTACAGAAGACCGGAGAAAAGCCCAGCCACACTTAGAGAAAGGGAGTTACATGTTATTATGCACAGGCCCAGAGAAAAATGTGTCTTTCAAATTTTGCCCCTCCACCCCCCAACATGGAGGAAACTTTCATTATTTATACTTTTTCCAGTCCTTTGTCTCCCACATTTGGAATGAGACTTCCGAGCCTTCTGAGAAAGAAGGCCTGCCTGCTGGGAAGGGACCATGAGACCATATCTCAAGGCCTGGCCTGGTGCCAGCACTGACCACTCTGTCTGGGGCGTAGTTTATGGCCTCTCTGGAATGGGTGTAGTCTTATTTAAGCAAGCAAGCGTTTACAGAAGCCAAAATAGCAGGATTAATATTTCAAACAGCAGTTTTTATATACGATGGATGTTTTCCTCAAGTGAGGTTTGAGCTCTGAAGTTGCTATAGTGACCAAATCAGAGGGGATAGTGACCAATCAGAGGGGATGTCAAAACACAAAGAACTGCAGTCTTTATAAACCATAGAGAGAAGGGACTCAGTGGTACTCTTCCCCCTCCCCACGTGGGAGTCTGTGCTTGTTTCTCAATAAATTTTTACCTTTTACTATACCATGGCTTCATTCTTTGACTCCACCGGACAAGAGCTGGGGAACCATCCTGCCCAGAGAACCACACATTCCAGTCCAATTTTCCTGTTTAACCTGAAGGAATTTTTTTTATATGCAAAGGTGGAAATCTATTGAAGACCAAGTATAGACTCCCATGTGGGGAGGGGGCAGGAGTCCCCCTAAGGAATTTTTGAAGATACTGTTAAGGAAAAAACCACAGACTCAAAATGGTGTCACTCATCAAAAAGTCCTACATAATGGCACACCTTTGTTTAATATATAATAGTGATAATGCTGTTAATTTTGAGCCAAAAATCATGATGCCAGAAGGTGGAGGACAAGAAGTAAATTGTATGCATTCTGTTACCCAGAGCCTAACAGCACACAACATATAGCATGCATTCCACAGGTATTTATTGACTACATGCATGATGGTTTTATTTAAAAGCTATAGCTACTGCCCTAACCGGTTTGGCTCAGTGGATAGAGTGTCGGCCGGTGGACTCAAAGGTCCCAGGTTTGATTCCTCTTAAGAGCATGTACCTGGGTTGTGGGCACATCCCCAGTGCGGAGTGTGCAGGATCAATGTTTCTCATGGATGTTTCTAACTCTCTATCCCTTTCCCTTCCTCTCTGTAAAAAATCAATTTATATATATATATATATATATATATATATATATATATATATATATATATATTTTATTGATTTTTTTATCTGCAGAACGTTAGTAATTAGTTTATGTGTGCCACAAGAAGAAAAATGTTAAAAATGAAAAATTGGTCATGTGGGCTCACTCCCCCCACAGAAAGAAGAGGCAATCTGCATGATTAAAACCCTGTGTTCTCTTACCCCCCGAAGTCTTGCTCTCACAATGTTTTTTCTTCTGTTAATAGTTCCTTTGTCCCTCCCTTCTTCCTATAAAAGCCTTCCATCTTGTACAGCTCCTCCAGAGCCCTTCCGGGGTCTAGATGTGATGCTCCCCAATGTAGAAATCACTTAGCCAAATTGATCTTCACGTGGACTTAGTTGAATTTTGTTGTTTTTTAAATATATATATATATATATATATATATATATATATATTTTTTTTTTTTTTAACAGAGAGGAGGGGAGAGGGATAGATGGTTAGAAACATCCATGAGAGAGAAACACTGACTGGCTGCCTCCTGCACACTTCCTATTGGAGATGGGCCCACAACCAAGGTACCTGCCCTTGACCGGAATCGAACCTGGGACCCTTCAGTCCTCAGGCCAATGCTCTATTGATTGAGCCAAACCGGTTAAGGGCTGAATTTTTTTTTTTTTTTTTTTTTTTTTTTTTTTTTTTTTTAACAAACAAGACTCCTGGGGACCTAGGGTATTGAGAAGTGGTCATGGACACATCACCATCGCTTTAGCTTGTAAAAAACCCAAATTACTGGTCTCCAAACCCCAGACTTTGTGATTCAGTGGGCCCGCTGTGGAGCCTGGGGATTTTCATTTTAACTCGAATTTCCAGGCAGCGCCGATGCTGCTAAGTTCAGGATATTGGCGTGTCCCCTCTGCGGAGAGGGCCTCGGGTCTCAGGTTCAGGTAGAGTTAAGGTAAGGTGACCAGACGTCCATTTGTCCCGTGTCCCGCGGTGTTTTTTAAAAAAAAAGTCCGGGAAAGAAGGAAGAATCTTTCCAAAAATCGGGACTTTTTTTTTTTTTTTTTTTTTTTAAACGCGCAGGAGACAAATTGTTAGAAGTCGGGGCTGTCCCGCCCAAAGCGGGACGTCCGGTCACCTTACTTAAGGGCCCGGTGGCCCGGCCCGAACACAGTTCTCCCCGGGGCAGTGGCTGACGCCCCGCGGCCAAAGGCCAGCGATCACCAGCCCCTCCCCGGTCAGGCCGACCCGGAGGCTGCAGACTCTGCCCCGCACGTGGCCGCTGGGCGTCTACACCTGTCTCCTCCTCCGCCTCCGCCTTCTCAGCCTTCACCTGCTCCTCCCTCTCCTCCTCCTCCTCCTCCTCCTCCTCCTCCGCCTCCTCCTCCCTCTCCTCCTCCACCTCCTCCTCCTCCTCCGCCTCCACCTTCTCCTCCTCCTCCTCCTCCTCCGCCTCCGCCTCCGGGCCGCCCAGTCCCGGCCGGCGGTGCGATGGCGCTGCGGGCGCTGCTCTGCTGCCTGGGGGCGCTGTGGCTGGGCCGCCCCGGCCTGGCGCTGCCCGCGGGTCCCGCTCCGGCGGCCGGTGAGTCTCCGGGCCCTTCCCTCCCCGCGGGGCCGGGGGCGCCGCTCCGAGTCTGCAAAGTGCCGGGCCGGCCGGGCGCCCGGGGCCGGCCCGGGGAGCTGAGCGCCGGGAGGGCGGGCGGGCGGGAGGCCGGGCCCCGCCGGGGAGGGCGCGCGGGGCGGCGCCGGGCACGCTGTGCTCGGGTGTTTGGCTCCGGAAGGAAGGAGCGGTGCGCGCCGGTGGGGAAACAGCCGGCAGCGGGCTGCCCCGCGCTTCTCCCCGCGGCCCCATCCGCTCAGAGCCCCGGGGAGCCGGGGGGGGGGGGATCTCAGTGGGACTCGGAGGATCTTCGGTCCCCGCCACCGAGCTTGGTGACATTGACGCGACGCCCTCCTCCCCCCCGGAGAGTACGGTCACAGCCGCGGGGCTCCCCACCCAAAGTCCGGGGTCTGCGTTGGGACCCTCTTTTCTCGCAGCCTGGATGCTGGGCTGCGGGCGGGCCGGTCTCACGCATCCTCAGCCCTTTCCCCAGGGCCTGCTCCAGTGCTGGTTCTCAAAAGTGCGGGCCGGGGCAGCCAGCATCAGCATCACCTGCACTGGCTAGAATGCAAGTTCTCCATCCCTACCCTGGCCTATCGACCCCGAAACTCCGAGGATTGGGGCCCAAAGATCTGTTTAAGAAGTTCTCTTGGTGACTGATAGAGGCTGCAGTGTGAGAACCACTGGTCCAGAGATACCTGTTAGATGAGCGATTTCACCATGCCACCTGAGCCTTCGGTTTCCAAGGTCAAGGTGCCCGCACCTCCGACTCCCTTTGCAAGCACTTGCTCTGCTCCCAGAGAGGGGACAGTTAGACAGGGCTCTGGGGCATAGATAGATAGATGTCTCTGAAACTCAGCGCAGGGCCCAGTCCTGAAACCTGTGTCGCCCTTTCTCATGTGACTGAAACGCAGGGAGAAAAGTGCCTCCTCTTTGAAAGCCAAGTGCCCATGACTCAGCTGAGGCAGTGGAAAACAAGAACGGTTTCCCAACCGTCAGTCGTAAGAAATGGTTCCAAAAACACTATGTCTGTGGCTCCTGCTTTCACGAAAGCTGGCGCCGAGCTTACGGAGGTGGCTGTTCAGGATTCAGAGATAGAAGGTCCCCAGGTTGCATGGGGCGAACCAATGGCAAGTTCCCCTTTTGCTTTTAAGAATCCGGTTGCTGAAGGCTTCAGTGCCTCAGTGCTGGAGTCTAGCCAATCTCCAGTCGCACCTCTGTGTTTGGGTAGGAAAGCAGCAAGATTGAATCCTGGGGAAAGGTCACTTCAAAGAGCTGAGCTGCTTAAGTGTCACATTGGACATATTATTTTACTTTTTCATTTGATGTAAACTCCTAACCCAAATGTTTGGCTTTCCTTACAACACCCACCATGACGGCCTCTGGCTCACTATTGGGGGTGTGTATGTATGTGTGCACACTTGCAAATGCCCAGTCTCAGTTTCCTGTCCGAGTCCTGGCGATCAAGAGGACAGACACCCGGGGAAGTTCCACCAGAGTGTTTAGCCACAACTCTTTAGCTCCGGGAGGTCAGGACCTGCTGGGCTATTTGGTAGGAACTGACATAAACAAATAAACAGAAGCCCGTATTTTAAACAGTAATATGTCCAAACATGGTTTACCAGATCCTTTAGGATAAATTAAAACCGTGGTGGGCAAACTGAGGCTAGCGAGCCACACGCAGCTCTTTGGCCCCTTGAGTGTGGCTCTTCCACAAAATGACACGGCCGGGGCGAGTCTATTTTGAAGAAGTGGCGTTAGAAGAAGCTTAAGTTTAAAAAATTCGGCTCTCAAAATAAATTTCAATTGATGTACTGTTGATATTTGGCTCTGATGACTAATAAGTTTGCCGACCACTGAATTAAAACATTTTAAGATAAACACGTTTTTTTTTTGTTTGTTTGTTTGTTTTTAAAAAGGGGGATAAATACGTTTGGGGTGTGTGTGTATAGTTTTGAGCACTTATGTACCTATGTTGACAACACCCACATATATTTGTGGAAATATTTTTATCGAAAGTAGTTGTGGTGTAGGGAAAAGAACTTTGGATTGTTAACCAGAGACTCTGAATTGGAATGTGTGCTCTGCCACAGGCCAGGTTATGGTCTTGGGGACACACATACACATACACACACATGCACACTCAGCATTTTATATACAGTTTTATTAGAAGTGGAAGGTGAGGCCTCCTAAGGTTTACCATTCATAAATCTCAGGTTAGGAGCCTGTCAGAGCGCATTCTTAACTACTATTTAAAGACTCCCTCCAGTGCATCTAAGTAATTACCCCTCACTTACCTGTCTGGGAATCCAGTGTAGTGGAAAGAACACTGGACGGCAAGTCTGGAGGAACTGGTTCCAGTTTAGCTTTCATTGCTGGAGGGAATCCCGGAATTTGCCTATGCCTAATTAAAGAATGTTGTTGAGGGCCTAATATAGGTCAGACACATTCTAGATGCTAGAGATATATACATCTCGGTATAAAATTATATATGGTGGATATGTCCTTAATGTGTTTCCAGTTTTGGTTTACAAAAAATGTGGTATATTTATAATCTCATGTCCTTTAATCACAGTAGGTGTCAGCATCCATTTTACACAAGGTGAGTGAGAGAGAGGGGTATCACAGGGAGGAGCAACAACCTGTTATCCAACTGTAAATATTTATGTAAAAAGATAAAGAAAAAAAAAAGAGACTTAGATTTAACACCATTTCTTTTCTAATCAACAGGACAGTTCTGGCATGTGACTGACTTACACTTAGACCCTACTTACCACATCACAGATGACCACACCAAAGTGTGTGCTTCGTCCAAAGGCACAAATGCCTCCAATCCTGGCCCTTTTGGAGATGTTATGTGTGATTCTCCGTATTACCTTATCTTGTCAGCATTTGATTTCATTAAAAATTCAGGACAAAAAGCATCTTTCATGATATGGACAGGGTAAGTTTCTATCTAATAAAAGAGTAACATGCTAATTGACCATATCTTTGTAACGCCCGCCAGCCAATCAGGAGTGACTATGCAAATCAACCCAACAAAGATGGCAGGTTAATTTGCATATGCCAGGACTGAGCGGCCCAGGGGTAGGGCAAGACACAGGCTTTCTGCACCGCCCCCAGCTACTCCAGGCCTCTGAACAGCGTATGAAGGAGGAAAGATGGCTCCAGGCCAGACAAAGGTGGCGCTCGCAGCCAGGGAAAGGAAAGCCCATTCTGGCATGAATTTTTGTGCATTTATTATATAAATACCATGAGTTACTCAATGTCTTAAGCTTCATTAGATTGTTGAATTCCGTAAGATTAATTATGCTTTAAAATTATTCAGTTTAAGAAATTCTAGGTCATTCAAATTAATCAACATTAGAGATAAAATTTTTAGAATTGTGCGTGTGTTTTTTTTTTTTAGAGTACACACTCTAGAAATATGTTGATGCAAATAAATGAATCCATAAGCAGCATACTTATATCAATGTCTTGATATTTTATCACTTATTAATGTGATAAAAGTCTTGATTTAATAAAAACAAATGGCAAAAATGGGAGTTAATCTGTGATAGCAATTTTGCAAACAGCATCGTCTGGTGGTATAATGAAATAATTCCATCCATTATGACAGAGCATTTCCTGTACCTTTAAACAGCATTATTGTTTTCCCCAATTTGCATATAAGGAAATGAAAGCACTGAGTGTCTAAGTAACTTGCCCAAGTGCGCACAGCTCGTGAGTGGCAAAGCTGGGGTTTTTGATCCAGGCATTTTGGCTCTGGAACCTGTGCTTTTCATTTATTGATACTAACATTTTTTTATTTCTCAAACATCTGCAGTCAGGCAGTAAAACAGGCTGAGATTTCTAGTTTATCTTTTGTGATTACACACATTTTAAAAATGAGATTCTTTGTGGGAGAAAGGTAAATGAAGAGTAGTTTACCAACTCTTTACTCGCATCTGCTGTTTTACAGTGGAGGTCTGCGAAGACAGTGCCCAGCAAGGCATTGTGCACGCATCTCGTGAATTCTCTAGGTAGCCTGACTCTGTCCTCTATGATTCTCTGTTCTTTTCAGGGATAGCCCCCCTCATGTTCCAGTGTATGAACTCTCCACAGACACAGTCATAACAGTGATTGCTAATATGACAACCACCGTCCAGAATCTCTTTCCAAATCTCCAGGTTTTCCCTGCGCTGGGCAATCATGACTATTGGCCACAGGTAAGTCTGACCTTAACTTCCCGTCAGTGGTGCAAAAAGTATGACAGTAACTGGCTGATGGCAAGCTGTGGGAGTGGGGCTCATCGAGGCAGAGTGTGCTCTTAATGCTACCCATCAAGGAAGGCAAGATGAGTGTTTCGAGGACTTTAAAATGACTCTAATAACTCATAAGATGTTATGTCCAGCCGGGACCGGGTTGGCTCAGTGGATAGAGCGTCGGCCTGCGGACTGAAAGGTCCCGGGTTGATTCCGGTCAAGGGCATGTACCTTAGTTGCGGGCACATCCCCAGTGGGGGGTGTGCAAGAGGCAGCTGGTCGATGTTTCTCTCTCATCGACGTTTCTAACTCTCTGTCCCTCTCAATTCCTTTCTGTGTAAAATCAATAAAATATATTAAAAAAAAAAAAAAAAGATGTTATGTCCATAGTGAGTGTTTGGAAGCACATACCTAGTTGGTGAAGTATTAGTTTTTGTTTCTCTTTATAATCTTCCTTTATTTCGCCTTTCTTTTGAGTGCTTTTGTCATTTACTCATATTTGCATGATTCTTTTAGGGAGGAAGGTTAACGTTGACAAATGTTTATGTTTTTCAGAATTTCAATTTGGCATACTAAGCTCACCACACCCCTAATCTAAGCTAGATTGTGATCGGAAACTTTAAAAACATGGCAAGCTATCATGATCATGTTTATGTTCAAGCCCAGTTTATCTAATTAAGATGTGATTCAAGCAGAGACTGTATTCAGAATATTTAATGCCTGATACAGCTGAGCTTCAACTTATCAGAGCAACCTGTGTGTAACAGCTAATACCAGCTTTAGTTTCAGGGTCTTCTTATAGTAGTGTAGAACCCTCGATTTGTTCAGATTTAAGAAATCTCAGAGATTATTGATTAGTCCAGAGCATAGCAAATTAGGGCCTCTGGTCCAAATTGGCCTGCCACCTGTTTTAAATAAAGTTTTATTGAAACACAACCATGCCTATTCTTCCTGTATTGCCCATAGCTTCTTTTGTACCAACTGCAGAGCAGAATAGCTGTGACAGAACACATCGCTCATAAGGGTTGCTTTTTGTAGAAGAAATTTGCTGACCCTGGTCTAAATCTACTCTTCATTTTATCGATGAGAAAACAGGCCCAGAAATGTTAAGTTGCTTGTTCAGCGCTCACAATCACTCCTGGATCTTTTGTGTGCAGTTAGACCAATGTGGTTTCACACAGCCCTTGCTCTTGCCAGAATAACATACTCAACATCTCTGGATTATGATGTTTACTTTCCTGCCTCTCTTTGACTACATTTTTCTTTTTGCTTAGAATACCTTTTCGATCTCATGTCAAAAGGATGCTTCATGAGAGTTTTGATTATATTAGTTCATCGAACCTGAACAGAGTGGTTTTGAAAAGTTGTAGCCTGGGACGAGTGTTAAGTTTCACGTGACTTCCTGGCACTGGCCTCCGGACTTGAGATGAGTGAAGTGTGAGTCGGCGTCTCAAGCAGTGGTCACCTTTTGTGACCCCTGAGATGGTAGACACTCAGGGCAGAGGCTCGGGGATGGCAGTCTCTGGGAGCCAGAGGTTACACGTTGTTTTATTAGGTGACAGGCAGACTGGTACGGTGGAAAAATGAGGCTTAGAGTCACATTCACTAGAATTAAGTCCTCATCTCATCCTGCTTCTAATAGCTTGACCAACTTGGGTAATTCACTTCATGTCCCTGATCCCTAGGTCACTCGTTTGCAAATAGGTGCAATAATATCCTCCTTGCAGAATTTTTGTGAGAAGAAGTGACACTTTATGAAAAGGCACAACTTCCTAACCACCACATAGTAAGCCCTCTGTAAGTGGAGTGGTGGTTGTTATAGCATTAAGCTGTGGCATGCGATACATGGTCCTATCTCCTTGGAGGATTTTTTTTCTTTTTTATCTCTGTCTTCTTTTAATTTATGTGTAATTTTTAAAAATCTTTATTGTTGAATATATTACAGATGTCTCCTTTGTCTTCTTTTTATGAAGTCACATCTTACAATAATTCAAGATGTAGGTACTTCCCAACTTCTAAACTGTATCCTATTATGTGTACAGCTAAGATAAATTGGACAGCCTGTATACCTTTATATATATATATATTTTTTTCTTTATTGATTTCAGAGAGGAAGAGAGAGGGATGGAGAGATAGAAACATCAATGATGAGAAAGGATCATTGATCAGCTGCCTCCTGCATGCCCCTGATTAGGGATTAAGCCCACAATCAAGGAATGTGCCCTTGGCTGGAATCGAATATGGGACCCTTCTGTCCACAGGCCAGTGTTCTATCCACTGAGCCAAACCGGTTAGGGCAGCCTGTATACCTTAAACAGTTAATTTTTCTCTTCTTTCTAGCTTATGAGTTCATATTTTAAAATCTTTTTGTTATTTTACTCCCATTCTTCCATCCCACATGTAACACTTCAGGAATGTCAAATGAAACATGAAAGCCTCCCATCAATATTACTAGAGACTGATACCTGGGATTGAATTCTGGAGTATTGGTAACAATAAAGATGACAAGTGTTATTTCCATTAAAAACCATAAACATGTACATAAACATAGCTACATAGTCATACACATGCAGAGGCATGTCCCCACCCATTCCCTCAGAGTGTGGGCAGCCCGGGCATTCGTTCCCAGGGCCACCCGCCCTAGAAAGCAGTCTGGGCCAGGATTCTCATTTATTCCTAAACTGGTAAGGGTGGTGCCATGAAACTTACCTATGGGACCCACTGAATACCTCATTTCTCAGCAGTGGTTCTGTCACAGCCCAGATGCATTGAGAGGATAGTATGGTCCAGTACATAAGTGGAGATGAGCGTGATGGCGCAAAGACCTGGGATTTAGATCCAACTCTGTGACTGACCAGTTGTTTCTGGATAAATTTCGGGTGCTGATATTTCTCATATTTAAAGTGGAAAAGTGTAGAGTGCTTTTTATATAATGTTAAGTTTCCACTTGACCATGTTAGTATCTTGGTTTTCATCTCAAAGCAAACACATGGTAGAAACTTTAGGGTTTTTTTTTTTTTTTTTTAATGATGATGATCAATTTTTGATTTTTCTCTAATTAGAGAAACATGGATCTGAGAGTGCAAAATTGATTAGCTGCTTCCCTTACACCTCCAAACAGGGATCGCTCCCCAAACCCAGGCATGTGCCCTGACCAGTAATGGAACTGGCAACCTTTTGGTACAACCTTTTGGTGCATAGGACTACGCCCAACTAACTGAGCCACACCGGCCAAGGCAATGATGACTAATTCTAAATCAAAATCTAGATTGGCCTACACCATTGTGTAATTTTCAGACAGGTGACTCTGATTTCTGACACGAACTGAAAATATGCTTTGGATAATAAGTTCCAGTTAAAACAAATTATTTGGTTATTACGTACTTTGAATGTATTTAGACTTTCATTATGTACTAGACATATGCATTAAGAACTAATGTGACTCAGGTGTCACCTTGAGAAATAACTAAGCATTTTAATTAATGCTGACAAGGAAACTCCTTTAAGAAGTATGTTTCTATCACTATTATACAGAAGGAAATGAGGATAGTGAATAAAATGCATTAGTTTTTTATTATATTTTTAAAAGACAAAAGTGTGAGTAATCACCCAATTTTACAAATGCTTTCTGGGTTTCTATTCAGTGTCTACTTTCTTAAAGTTTTGTTTATTTTCTCCCCTAGAAAATAAGCATACATTATTGTAATATGATAAATAGGATGATAAAAGATACTTTAAGATAATAAAAATAATGTTTTATACATCTAGTTCACCATTAAAAATCATCATGTTGGTAAAATTCAGGCTGACATAAGAGACTTCTTCAAATCAAATTTGTATGGTTATAATTCTTTAAGAAGCTTTTTACTAGTGTTAGCATTTCAGAGGACTTATTTTATTTTTTTCCATTTCTTCCACATGCTATGATTCCACATATGAAGGAGATTCCACATATGAGTGGGATCATGTGATACTTGTCTTACTCTGACTGGCTTATTTTGCTTATCATAACACTCTCCAGGGCCCTCCATGCTGTCTCAGAGGGTAAGAGATCTAGATTTCACATATATGTGAAATCATAAGGCATTTTCCCTTCTCTGTCTGATCCTTTTTTTGTCAACTTGATGAATCATTATTCAAGGCCTGGTTCAAATGCTCTATTGTCTCTCCCTGCTGACTCTTTGGACCAGATTTGATTCTTCTTGCTTCTATATTCCCAGAGCCTCAGCAGTAGTACCTAGTGCACTGTCTTATAGGTGATCCATTGTATTTTGTCCCATTTCTCCAACTAAGTTATAAACTCCTTGAAGATTACCTCCATCTAGTATTCATCTTTGCATTTTCAGATACCTAGCATAGTAGTAAACACTCAAGCAATGTTTAATTAATTGATCCCCATAGTCTTCAGAGTTTCAATGGTGAATTGTATTGTTTGTGGCCAGGATCAACTGCCTGTATTCACCAGCAAGGTGTACAATGCAGTAGCAAACCTCTGGAAACCATGGCTAGATGAAGAAGCTATTGAGACTTTAAAGAAAGGTAGGTGAAAGATTTACTACTTTGCCTCTATTTTTATTAATGTTGTTTAGACTTAGGTCTTTCATATTTGCTTGGCTGTGCCAATTCTGAAGAGCCTCTGTACCCAGTTTTTCTGGAGGCCACAAATCATGTTTGAAAGCTGAGGAGAGAGAGAGAGGTATGGATGATGAGTGGGCCCAGGGCCAGCATCTCAGTGACTAGCTCTGACAAGTAGACTCTTGGGCATTTTGTTGTCACTGGTTTGCTGGCATCAGTGGGCTTATGCCTTTAAGCTTCATCTCCATGGAGAATGTAGCATCTCTGGTTTGTCTGCCATTTATTCAGTGGTCTCTGGCAAGATCCCATTCTCTGGATTTTGTATTTCACAATAATTCTCATCTTCACTTTCCCAATCATACTATATTAGGAGTTGGTATAGTAATATTTCTTTTACAAAGGTCAGTACTTTGTTGTTTAGTGCCAGTATATTTATTTTATTTTCACCTGAATATTGGAAACAACTCTTGTTACCTCTATGTATAGAAGAGCTAACACATGGACTTAGCATATGATAGGTTTTCCATGTTTGATTCTTATCTAACGATGGCTTATGTATAATATACAAACTAAACAATGAGATCCTATATAATAAAAGCCTAATATGCAAATTGACTAAACTGCAAAACGACCAGTCGCTATGATGCACACTGACCACCAGGAAGCAAACACTCAATGCAGGAGCTTCCCCCAAGACCCAGGCCAGCCAAGGTAGGTGCCAGGTGGGGTAGGGAGGGGGGGTGTCCCCCCAATCACCCTACCAGTCGCCCTGCAGAGGGAGGCAACTGGCAGCGGGGGGGTAGGGGTGGGGCCAGTGAGTGGGCAGTGTCAGGCTGGCCAAGGCAGGTGCTAATGGATGCCCCTGATCATCCCACTGGTCACCCCACAGATAGGCCCTGATTGCTGTCAGGCCTAGGGTCCTTTCCCATGCACTAATTTCATGCACCGGGCCTCTAGAATAAATATAACTATCATGGCTGGTATGTAAATCCTTTAAAAAAAAATTTAATGAAGAATTTGCTTTCATAGTAACTGCATATCTGTGAGTGTGTTTCTCTAAAATAAGTTTAAATTTGTTTTTATAGGTGGCTTTTATTCACAGAAAGTTTCATCTAATCCGAACCTTAGAATCATCAGCCTGAACACAAACTTGTACTATGGCCCAAATATTGTGACTCTGAATAGGAGTGACCCAGCAAATCAATTTGAATGGCTAGAAAATACACTGAATATCTCTCAGCAAAATAATGAGAAGGTATATTTCATAGACCCAAATCATAAGGGAATATAAACAGAGGGCTAAATTTGTATATTTATTATACTTGGCGGGGGGGGGGAAGGGGGGTAATGTGTCAGGAATTAATAAAAATAGTAAAATTTGAAGATGTTTTCATATGAAATGCATGATAATTTATCTCTTGTTATTTGTTTTATTTTGTTTTGCTTTTAATGTTTTGAGGATTGATTGACATCAGTTCATATAAAAAGAGGCTGATATTAAAAAAATTGTGACCAATGTCACAGTTAATGCAACAGTGTGGTTTATTATTTTTAACTAGAGGCCCAAAGCTTGAAATTTGTGTGCAGGGCAAGGGTAAAGGGTTCCTCAGTCCAGCCTGCACCCTCTCCAATCCAGGATTCCTCTCTCAATCCAGGGCTGCTGGCTCCTAGCCACTCACCTGCCTGCCTGCCTGATTGCCCCTAACCACCTCTGCCTGCCTTATCACCTCTAACCCCTCTGCTTGCCTGCCTGATCACCCCTAACCACGCCTACCTGTCTGCCTGATGCCTCTAACTGCTCCCCTGCTGGCCTGATCACCACTAACACTCTCCCCTGAAAGCATGATTGCCTCTAACCACTGACCCCTGATGGCCTGATTACCCTGAACTGCTCTACCTGCCTACCTGATCGCCCCTAATCGCCTTTGCCTCGGCCCCTGCCACTGTACTAATTAGACATCCAGAAGATGTCCAGTCTAATTAGCATATTACTCTTTTATTAGTATAGATATTTTTTTTATTGATTTCAGAGAAGAAGGGAGAGAGAAATATATATATATGGAGAGAAACATAAATGAATGGAGAGAACCATTGATTAGCTGTCCCCTGCACACACCATACTGGTGGAGGATCGAGCCTGCAACCTGGTCATGTGCCCTTGGTTGGAATCAAACCTGGATCCCTTTAGTTTGCAGGCCAATGCTCTATCCACCGAGCCAAACTGGCTAGGGCAGCAGTGTAGTTTAAAAGAGACAAGAGCAAATATAACGAAATAAATAGTTTTCTAATTTTATATTTTTTGGTAATAAAAAGGAGAGATGGTATATTTGCTTTCTAAATTTTAGTTAATATGCTTTGGATCTTGGGTATCTAAATGTCATTTAGTTACAACAAATGTGCAGAAAGATGCTCATCAGCCCTCCTGTGTTTCTTTCCCCAGGTGTACATCATAGCACACATCCCAGTGGGCTACCTGCCCTTTTCCATGGGTACTACGGCCATGAGAGAATTCTATAATGAGAAACTGATTGGTATTTTTAGAAAATACAGCAGTGTCATTGCAGGACAGTTTTACGGTCACACTCACAAAGACAGCATCATGGTTCTTTCAGATGAAAAAGGTAAAGTTAGAAGCACGTCTTCCAGGTCACACACAGCCCTCTGGGTCAGAGGGAGAGGGCTGTCCCCAACCTCGATTCTTGTCTCTTCATATAAATGCGTTTATGCAAGAGATCTCCATTGCTTTGTGATGAAGCCAATTTTATTAAAGCAAGTAAAAGCATCACCTTTATTGAAGAAGCAAGCCAAGCAAATCTATACATCTGGCTTATAAAACACAGTTCTCAGCTAATCTGAAGAGTGAGTGGGGTGGGGGTCCGAGGCATTATATACCCTCCTGTCTATAGGTTTCAGCATCCCTCTGCTGAATATTTAGATACAGATTCATTCTCAAGGTCCCTTTCCACCTTGTTGTGCCCTCCCCAGACTTCATGAGAAGCACCTGGCAACGTTATCTGGCCAAGCCTTGAGGCTGCTGGCTTCTCTGCTTAGGGAGTAAAACTGCCTTTTTTTTCCTTTCCTCTTCCTCCCTCCTTTTCTGCATTCTCTCCTTAGGGAGGATTTTAACAATCAGCTCTCAGGTGTCTTTGGCTGGGGAAGATAGTGGGTTGTTGTTTATAGGCTGGTTGCTAATTGCTCTCACTGTTTGGCCTTGTTTTCACTCTCCTGTCTCAGGTTCCCTATTCCATTTGCTCTGGAATTTTCCTAGCTCCTTACTGTCCTGGCACAGTAATGTGACATTTTGTTCGCATCTCCCAAATGCAAGATGCTAAAGTCAGGCATCGAAACTCCGGTAATTTTTACCGATTTAGCAAATTAAATGTTCTATTTAATTCAGCACCAGATTTTACTTAATATAAAAAGCAAAGGGCACTTTACCACTGGTTTAAAGTAAAACATAATAAATTCTCATCTTTAAGTACTTATATGCATTGTTAATGACTCAGCATTAAAAGAAAAAAAATAGAAGAAAATGCTAGCATCAAACTGAATGATGCTCTATTTTTAAAAATTATTTTGTGCATGAGGGTAGAAAACTTGAGAGTTAACAAATTAAGACTTTTGATTTTATAATAGTCAGTATAGAAAAAAAAAACAAAATATATTTTTTTCAGTAATTGGGGAATATTTTTGAAATGCTTTACCTCTTTTATTTGGAATGGGTGGTCTTGGTAAAAATGAGAATCTTTTAGAATTTGATGGTTTTTTTACTCAGTTTTTTTACTTAGTTCTAGGATATGTATAAAACGTGGTGACACTTAAAATATTTATTATGTAGTCATTGGAATATTGTTTCAGGTAGAGGTACAGGACATGTGTGTGTACTTATAATAACTTGAATTTTTTTATTATGAAAAAATTTAAATATCCAAAAGCAGAGAGAATGATAAAAACAGACACATGTGCCATCATTTATTTTAACACATATCAAGATTTTGTCACATTTGTTTTACCCATCCATTTTTAAAATTTTTTTCCTGAATTATCTAAAAGTGAACCTTCACATCAGATGTTTTAGCCTTACATGCTTCCTATACATTGCTAAAATACATGAGTCACTTATGTAATCATAATACCTTTAGTTTATCTAACAAAATTAATAATAATTCTTTGCTATTATTTAATACCATCCCATAATAAAATGTTTCTATTTTCCTCAAAGTGTTTCTGACATGTTTCAAGTCAGAATCCATTAAAGCTCATATATCATTGGGCTATTATGTCTATTAACCTCTTAATCTGGAACTTGTTCATATTTTTAATGTAGTTAAATTCAGTCTCTAAAAAGATTTTTTTATGTGCACATGTTTTGTCCAGGAAGTCCAGTAAATTCTGCGTTTGTGGCTCCTGCGGTTACCCCAGTGAAGGGTGCTTTACAGAAACAGACCAACAACCCTGGAGTCAGACTATTTCAGTATGATCCTCATGATTATAAGTTATTGGTAAGTTGATACAATTTTAGAATTGACCCCATATTTATAAATGACTTTATATTTTCAGTAGTTTAGTTGAATGTTTTTAGAATAGCTGTGTGTGCTGTGTGTGTGTATATATGTGCTAACATAGAATGATATCCCTGATATAGCATTCAATACTTTTTAAAAGTCCAAAAGTTTGTATAATATGACTTCCTTTTTTAAAAAGCCAAAAAAAAGCCCAAACCGGTTTGGCTCAGTGGATGGAGCGTCCACCTGTGGACTGAGGGATCCCGGGTTTGGTTCCGGTCAAGGGCATGTACCGTGGTTGAGGGCACGTTCCTGGTGGGGGATGTGCAGGAGGCAGCTGATGTTTCTAACTCTCTATCCCTCTCCCTTCCTCTCTGTAAAAAAATCAATAAAATATATTTTAAAAAAATTAAAAAGCCAAAAAATAGGAAATGGGTGTATATTTTCTAAATACTTATATTTGTTTCATACATAAACTCTAGAACAGCACAAGTAACACCAGAGTGTTGGTAAATGTTTAACAACCTGTTCACCGGGAGAAGAAAACACAAACTTTGGTTTATAGTGTTTGCTGATTTCCATGATGTAAATACTCCCATCGTGACCAATTTCAAGCTGCCAAAGTTAGTGTCAACTGACTGGCAAGATTCCTGAAAATCTGACAATCGGCTCTTGTGACCTGGTTACAGCGCCTCCAGCTTAATATCATTAGTGGTGGTGACTTCTGACGCGTGTGAATTGAAGGCTTTCTATTCTGTATATCTCTCTATATCATTTATATTAATTTGTATTATGTTCTTTCATTTGTTTTTAAAATGAAAAAGTAATATAGCTCTTCTAGGGGTGTTCTTTCTCCAAAATCAACTCTCACTTTTTCAAGTGACTGCAACTTGAAATCAGGAGTGTCGCGTTAATCCTAGGGAGGACTCTTCTTGCTGCAAAGTGTTTTGTATGCCCCCGAATGAACTGCGCTTTCTTACTGTGTTTGACTGTAGGATATGTTGCAGTTTTACTTGAACCTGACAGATGCTAATCTAAAAGGAGAATCCAACTGGCAGCTGGAGTACACCCTGACCCAGACTTATGACATTGAAGATCTGCAGCCAAAAAGTTTGTATGGATTAGCTAAAGAATTTGCAGCCCTGGATAGTAAGAAATTCATGAAATACTATAATTACTACTTCGTGAGTTATGACAGCAATGTCGTTTGCAGTGACTTATGCAAGGCCTTTCAAATTTGTGCAATTATGAATCTGGATCGTAATTCCTATGTAGATTGCCTCAAACGTTACTATTAATATATAAAGCACAATCTATAGCATTTCCCAACTTGTGTTCATAGAGAAGGCAACTTGTTATGTCAATCTTTGTGAGTTACTGAGTGGGCAAACAGAATAACTTTCTTTGCTTTCTTTTTTATGATGCTCAAATGAAGATATTTTTAATATTCCAATTTTTTGATACATTGAATGTATATAAGCTGCCCACTAGAATGATGTTTAAATATGCACTTTCTATCTTCCAGTTTATATAATTATATCTAATTTATACTCTTGTGACAATGCCATTTTTATAGTCAAGGAAACAACTCTTCAGACGTATGACCAATTGTTTTTCAAAAGATAATTTTCAGTTTGATTGATTCACTCTTATTAAAACCCCATGTGTAAGCTGAAGTTCAAACTATTTAAATCTCGTGTGTAAACTGAGGTTAACATCTTTTCCATGCCCCGCCTACTCTTGGGAAAACTCGGATTCCTCATGAGGGTCATCTCTGAGTCTATGAAACATCACTGGACACGTGGTATCTAGCTGTCTCCACTCTGTGATGAAAGGGAGTGCTTTTTAGTACTGCTAACTTCTTAATTAATTTAATTTTTAAATCCTCACCTGATATTTTTTCCATTGGTTTTTAGGGGGAATGGAAGAGAGAGGGAAAGACAGAGAGAAACATCAATGTGACAGAAACACCTCGCTTGGTTGCCTCCTGGATGTGCCCTTGACCAGAATCGAACCCAGGACCTTTTGGTCTGCAGGCTGACGCTCTATCCACTGGGCCAAACTGGATAGGGCAGTACTTCTAACTTTTAATGAGAGAATGTCACAAGTTATACTTGCTGTAACTACAGTACAAGCACAAGGTCTGGGTTCTAGTCCTGTGTCTAACACTTGGTAAATAACTGAGGAAATGAACTGAAAGAAATGGATGGAAATGCAGCAGTGGCATTTTCTTTGTTACGGTGTTCAGAGAGAGGATAAAAATGAGCTTTCATTTCATGGGGTTGTTTTTAGGGTTCTCCCATGGTGGTTGGCTTCTCAACTGCTTCTTTCAAGCTGTTGCTTGTTTCCAGGCTCAGTGGGAGGATTAAAGTGGAAGAGAAGAGGCTGAGGCTGAGAAATTTAGGGGAGGAGATGATTGTACACTCCAATATCCCCATTACATTGGTTTGGTGGAGCATACATACGGGTCAGTGGTTGGCAAACTCATCTCTCAACAGAACTGCAAACTCATCAGTCAACAGAGCTGCAAACTGTGACTCGTGAGCCACATGTGGCCCTCGAGCCGCAGTTTGCCGACCACTGCCTTAGGTCAATCAATAAGGAGAGTGAAACTCATTGTCCTGGTGAGTGGTTTGACTTCACGTAAAAAATGACTTGTAGGTAGAAGATCGCATTATAATGAAACCAAATTAATCTTAATTTCCAGAGGGCCAAGAGGTTTAATATTATAAAATTAAAATATTATATCTAAGAAATATCAATATTTGTTAGGTAAACTTTTTAAAAAAAATTTTAGGTTTAAAAATAAATTAGTATGTGTTAGACATGAGAATACTGAAACAAAGCAATGATTTATTTTTATATAAAATCATAGCATTTAAAAATCATCCTACCTGCAATTATATTTAGGGTTAGTATTGTCAAATGACTACATCAAGTATTTATATATTTTTATACCTAACGGGCAAATGTTTTAAGAAAACAGGCTCGTGCCTTCTCAGGAAAATTGCTGAAAGCCAAAGATGGCGGGAGATGACTCAGACAATGAGTCCTAGCACCGGAGGTGAACACACCGGGGCTCGCAGGATGATTGTGGAGGAAATTGCTGCACCTTTTGGGGACTTGGGGAGTGAACATTTAGGGTCCTTCCCCCATTATTCTGCAATAAAAACTTTTTAATCCTACCTTTTCGTGTTCGGTTTACTTTTACCTTTAAGTGGAAATAAATGGTCTCAAAGTTTGAGTGACATCTAGGTACATTATCAGCAGTCAAAGGAATGTTTCAGTTCCATCATCAGAGCTGTTACTATTTAATTGCGGTTTATTTCAGGTTATGTTCAATTATTTTTTAAAAAAAGTGATGTCCACAGTAAAACTTGTCTTGATTTGCTTCTGCTTATTGATAGTGCTTTGGCAAATTTATAAAATACACCTTGTTTAGATTATTTAAATTGATACTTTCAAACCAGTTTTGTTTCAACATTTAGCCACCCATTTATAGGAAGGAATGGGAGTAAAGGTGAGGGAAATGGGAAAGAGTCTTTAAGAAGAACCACTGGTTTAGGTGGGTAGAGAGATTTAGGGGCAAAACATACCTACTAATATATAGTAGGAAATATCTATTCAAATGAATCCTTTTCTAATACTAATATTCTCACATATTATGAATGGGTTGGCTAAATGGAACAGCCATCTCCCATTTTGAATGATGGGGTGGGAGGTTTTCGTAAATTCAGTAGCCCTAGGACACCATTTGATCTGGGGTCCATACTCCTGAGAAAATTCTGTTACTCTGGACTCTTAAAAGATGAGCTGACTCCTGCCTTTTGAATATTGTCACATCTGAATGAGTCAGTCAGAGAAAGACAAACACTATGATTTCACTGTTATGTGGAATGTAAACAAATAAACAAAATGAAGCAGGCACATAGATAGAGAGAACAGACTGATTTGCCAGAGAGGAGAGGGGTTGGGAGAAGGTGAAGGGATTAAGAAGCACGGGTTGGTACTTACAAACAGCCACAGGGATGTAAATTACAGCATAGAGAATCTATACTAATAGAGGGATATGCAAATTGTCCGGGACACCATTACAGTAACAGTAACACTCAAATGGCAGGCTGCGTGGGGCAACGAGGTCGGCAGAGGGGGGCAGTAAGGGGTAACCAGTCTGGTGGGGGAGCAGTTAGGGGCGATCAGGCAGTCAGGCAGGTGAACAGTTAGGAGCCAGCAATCCCGGATTGTAAAAAGAATGTCCCTGGAATCAGGCCTAAACTAGCAGACATCCCCCAAAGGGTCTCGAATTGGAGAGGGTGCAGACTGGGCTAAGGGGAACACCCTTCCCTCCCCCCCACATGAATTTTGTTCACCGGGCCTCTAGTATAATCAATATTGTAATAACTGTGTATGATGCTAGGTTAGTACTGGAAATATAGGGGTGACACTTTGTAAAGTGTATGATTATTTAGCCACTGTGTTGTACACCTGAAATGGATACAAAATAATATTCAATATAAATAACTGAAAAATAAAATTAAAAAAAAAAAAGAAATAGTCAACTCCAAGTCAAAAGAAATAAAAAGAATATTGTCACATCTGCCTTGTGTGATTCTTCTATGCAGTGAGCTTTATGCCAAAAAGAAGAAAGATGGGACTTCATTGAGCTAACAGTAGAGGTAACGTGACTGTTTCTGGACCTGCTTGCTAAATAAAATCTATGAGACCTTGCTTTCATTGTTAACATCAGAAAAAGTTGTGGGGGGAAAAGTCATTTAATGAACAACATTTCTCAGGGTGGCCAATGCAAGCTGGTTAGATAATTAGCTCTTCAGAGCTCTTTTTGCAGTTATATAAGAATGTATTGCCTTGTTAAGGAAATCTAGTCTATCAAAAGCATATCCACCAATGGCTTGTATTATCTTTTTCCATTTCCATGTTTGCAAGATAATTAAGAATACATCCATGTACATCCCTTAGCTAATCAGTTTTGGAAGCACATTGAACAGAGATATACCTGACATTTAGTTAGCTTTAAGCTTATTGGCTATGCCAACAGCTAGAGGCAGTTTGGAATCCAATTACTGGAAAGCTTTTGCAGGATTTGCTACCTGTTTGCCTGACACCTTCTCAGTGGTGAGAGGTCTGGGTACAGACTTGCTAATCCAAGCGTGTCTTAATGCTGGAGATGGGGTCAGGCGGGCACAGGGGTCCCAATGAAGACACCTTTTCAACAACTCATTTGTCATTTTTCCTGTTAATCCCTCAAATTACTGCCCTGTGATGTCAAAGATAATCTCAGCAGCCTGAGGTAGTTTCTATTCACTGGGAAATTCATTAATCATCACCTTTTCTCTTAAAATCTAATGGAAACCCAGTTTATCTAAAATATATGTGGTTTCTTACAATCCTGTATTTGTTTGCAAAAGGTTAGTAGCAATAAGTTTAGAACTGATGTATATTAAAATCCTTTGAAAATTAAAAATGTCACTTAGTAAATGTTAAAAAACACTTCATTATTATATTTTATTTATTTTTTTAATTTTTTTTCATTATTATATTTTAATGGATATATTTGCTAAACCAGAGAAAACTAAAATCTTTCATTTGGAATCTTTATGCTTTAGAAGCAAAACATGATCTTTAAGAGTATATTTAAAAAGATATTCATCTTCAGTTGAGAATAATAAATCATCGGAGATTAAATAGGCAATCCTCTGTTTAGAAGCCACCATGTGTTTAAGTTACTCATATGTTCAGTAATTATTTCACAGGAAAGGAAAGTGAGTCCGTACATTTATTTATCAAACACATGTCTGTGGGCAGAGTTGGCTGGGAAAGATTAAGTAGCCTGCTTAAGGGTTCCGCCTAATTAAGGAAAGAAGCTGTAACTCAATCCCTTGCCTCTGACTTCAGGCTCAGTGCTATTTCCTTTATATTGGTCACACTTGCAGCTCTCAGCACTTTCCACATCCATGTTTAATTCATGAGGTTCACAGGGCCACAAATGAACTCTTCTACAACACCATTTTTTGTTAGGTATTTCACAATTGAGTTAACTTTTCCCAAGACTGCCTGTTAGTATTTAAAAACGTTGTGTTTAGCAAACACAGCTGCCTCTCTCCCTCTACGTGATGTTGTGTTGACCTGCTTCGATTACATTGAAACTTCCAGGTATTTTTTCCTGACCAAGACATAATTTAAGAATTACACAAGAAAGAATGTATCCTCTTTTCTATTAATTTAGAATAAGTAAAATGTAACTTTTCAAATATAAGAGACTTTTTTTCAACTTTGATTT